GGCACGCTTCCCACGTGGGGCGGCCAGCCCGTCGCGGCAGGGCGCGGGGAAGCCTGGCCCGGCGGGCCGGCGTGTCGGAGGGGCTTTGCGACGGCCCGCGGCGACCCTCCCAGCCCTGGCAGCGAGGGCTTTCCCGGCAGGGGGGCCGCCAAAGCCGGGATGGTTACCGGAAGTGAACCGCGCGATCGGGCCCCTTCACGCCCACTTAGCTTTGTGGGTGCTGCAGTCCTCACCGGACAAAAGGGCACCCTCCCCGAAGCACACCCCCTTTTCCTCCTCTCCCCTCTGTGGCTCGTAGTTTCCTGACTCCGCGCTGGCTTCCTGTAAGTGTGCTCCAAAATCGTGTGGGGCCGCCTCGGAGCCAAGCCCGCCTGAAATTGGGTTGGAGGGGAGAGAGGGGTCGGGGTCGGATCCCGGGGCTCCTGTTCGAAGGAGGGAGAGTCGAGTGTTTACGACGGTGGGGCAGATCCGAGGTCCTTATCTGTCAGGCACGTCTGAGGTCTTCACTGTGATCGATGCTGAGCAGTATTTGCAACTTTGTGTGAGAAGCGATCCTACCGCCCAGCTAGGTGGTGTCCTCCTTTTCCTTATTGTCACGGGTCGGTTTGCGAATTGGCCTTAACAGCTGGCACTATTGTGTAGCAGGTATACATAATGTGATGAATAGCAAACAGTAAGAATCTCTGAATAAGGCTTATTCACTACCTTTCGTAAGAGAAACTTTAATAATTGGTCTCCTTTTTGTAAGGGAACTCTCGAAAAAGTGCTGCAGACTTGCGTAGCTTAGCAGATTGTATGATTTGTGAATAGTCTTAATTAAACAATAATTTGTTAACTAGAGGCGTGAACACGTGGAGAGCATGCCTTGTAGTAGGCAGTTTCTTTTTTAAAAACTGCTTTATTGGTATAACTCACGTCACCGGTCGTGTTAACATCAGGAAAACTAATTTTATGTTCTAATTAGTATTGAGTCCTATGCACCTTTTTCTTGCAGAAAAAGAACAGCAAGAAGCAATTGAACATATTGATGAAGTACAAAATGAAATAGACAGGTAAAGTTTTTCTTAGTTTACTTTGGAGAAGTTTTTTGAGATGCAGCTTACGGCCTGGTGATCATTGAAACTATGGTCAAATAAATCTGTATCCACTGGCCAAGTGGAGATGATTACAACTTAGAAATATTTTTGGAAGGTCAGTGTTATTTTTCTGTGAAATATTTCTGTTGATCAAAAAGTTTGAAGAAAGTATATTCATTGACCTTTGGGTTTGCTTTCAGAGGCTACAAGTTGTCTGAATTGCGGTGCCTGAGCTTCTGATAGTTTGGCATTATGGCATCAGTGTTGCTCCTGCTTGGGTTATAACTTTGTTACTTGATCAGCAACTTTTTTTTTTTTTTTTTTTTTTTTTTTTTTTTTTTTTTGTAAACTTAATCTGCCTGAGGGAAACAAGTGAAGTTAGCGTGGTGATAGAGTTGGCAACTTAAATATACAATGTTACCAGAATGCTCAGTTGGGCTACTTTAGGAACTGTCAACTGTTGAGTGTATGTTGGTGAAGTAGCTCAATTTGTCATCTTAGTTTTGACGTCTTTCACTCCAAAAATCTAGGTGTTCTGGTTATTATGAGTGAGTACTTTGTACTGTTCTAAAGCTAAAAAGTAAATATTCTGTAGTTTCGGCAGTTTTTGTATTTGTCAAATATTGTAATTGTCAACGTGGTTTTTCATTTGCTTCAGACTTAATGAACAAGCCAGTGAGGAGATTTTGAAAGTAGAACAGAAATATAACAAACTCCGCCAACCATTTTTTCAGAAGAGGTCGGAATTGATCGCCAAAATCCCAAATTTTTGGGTAACAACATTTGTCAACCATCCACAAGGTATGTTGTGGCAGAGCACTGTTGCAGGGTATGGGGTGTCCATTCGTTAAAGAGTTGGGGGGACTTTGCTTGAGAGCTTAGTCCGACATGTTCGTTACATGCAGAGATTAAAACACTCGGGAAGCTTGCATTTAATGCTTTCTCTATTTAGAAGAGACTATATTCTAACTTGAGATTCCCTTTAATTATTTGGTAAAAGATAGTGACAGCCCTGACACTGAGCCATCTGGTTTGCAATTAATGGATTTATGAAATCAAAGACGCTCACTAAATTTGGAAAATTTTAAAAGGCATCACTTGAATTGTTTGTTAATATTGTCTGTTTAATATCCATTTGACCTGTAATTTGCTGGTCCAGTGTCTGCACTGCTTGGGGAGGAGGATGAAGAGGCTCTGCATTATTTGACAAGAGTTGAAGTGACAGAATTTGAAGATATTAAATCAGGTTACAGAATAGATTTTGTAAGTATCAATAAGTGATCTTGTTTGCCACTGTGGAAGTTAATTTAAGCTTTGGTTAGAAGAGCTGTTTGTATTGATTTCCAATTCTCAATTCTTTATTGTAGTATTTTGATGAAAACCCTTACTTCGAAAATAAAGTTCTCTCCAAAGAATTTCATCTGAATGAGAGTGGTGATCCATCTTCAAAGTCCACTGAAATCAAATGGAAATCTGGAAAGGTATTTGAGGAATGTTGGGCAAAAGTATCATTTTGTGTATTTTGGTTTAGTTGAACCTCTTACCAATGCTTGGTGCTTTGGTAATGTGTTAAGTGCAAACCCTTAAGATGTAAAAAAAAGAAAAAGAAAAACAAAAACAAAAAAACCCTCCAATGTGTTAGAGCCAAATACAATAGCTTGGAGCTGTCAGATTATTGTGTTGAGTTTTTCAAGAAACGGGCTAAATTTCTTTGATTCCTACATGGGTTACTGAGCTTTTCAAATGGCTTGGTACTTGCCAGATTGCATTTATATCTACATTTATGCAGTGAACCCATTTTCAATTATACTGTGTTATGGGTAGTGGTTGTCAAAGTGGAACTAATTTTGTATGTAAAGTAGTGAAATTTAGACGGCCCCTTTATAGGAGAAGCTTTTTGTAAAAATTTGACGTCTTTGCAGACCTAGAATTTTAGGACTTTGTTTTTATCTGCTGTACGTTTTATAATTTCTTTTAGATGACAAGTATAGATGACATACTAGTGTGATTCCCACTCCCCCCCCCCCCCCCCGCTTTTGTGTTAAAATCTTAAGTTAGAGGGAAATTTAAGTGTTGTGGAGAACCTATGTCAGAAGTTCTTCTGTCTTCGTTTAGGATTTGACGAAACGTTCAAGTCAAACGCAGAATAAAGCCAGCAGGAAGAGACAGCATGAGGAACCAGAGAGCTTTTTCACCTGGTTTACTGACCATTCTGATGCGGGTGCAGATGAGTTAGGGGAGGTCATCAAAGATGATATTTGGCCCAATCCTTTACAGTACTACTTGGTGAGTCGAGAATGTTTTTTTAATTCAAGGTTGTATCTGTCTCATTTGTTGGAAAATGAATTCCTAAGGTAGTTTGTTTTTTTGTTTTTTGTTTTTGTTTTTGTTTTTGAAGGTTCCTGATATGGATGACGAAGAAGGGGAAGGAGAAGAAGATGATGATGATGATGAAGAAGAAGAAGGATTGGAAGATATTGATGAAGAAGGAGATGAGGATGAAGGTGAAGAAGATGAAGATGATGATGAGGGGGAGGAAGGAGAGGTAAAAAAGAATTTGGTTAAGTCCAAAGAAGACCAATCTTGAAAGAACTTACCCTGTTATTTTGTGGGTTGTATATATTGTGTAATAGAGGTGTGGCCAACGGTGGGAGGATTTGTAGGTGAGATGAGCTAGTTTTTCGAGATGAAAGAAAGTTTTAATCAAGTCCTTATATCAGTGATTTTTAACTGTAACCAGTTCTGCTTTTGTGGTTCGTACTCTGTTCTGCCCTTCCCCTAACTAGTACTTAACGAAAGTGATATGGGTAGTGCAGCTGGTCAGATTCTGAGAAATCTAAATAGCAGATTTGCATGTTTTGGACAAACAGTAAAATCCTTCTAGTCAGATAGAAATAGGTTGTTGCTTGGTTTGTTTTACTTGGTGTGAAAGAGGTCAGATTTTGGTTAGCGCTGAAAAGTTAACTAATTTATGTGAAACAGCATCACTGGGTTCAATTGAGATTGGATACAGACCGATTTGTGGCTTCGTTCGTAAAATGACATGTCCCCGTAGTGCATCAGTGTGTCCTATGGAAGTCCATGAGTGTCCGTACGAATGTTGGGGAATGACCTTAGAATTAACCCTGGAGATTAACTGCCCACTTTTCTTTCTTACAGGAGGATGAAGGAGAAGACGACTGATGGATTCCAACCTTCCTTTTTTAATTTTCTCCAGTCCCTGGGAGCAACTTGCAGTCTTTTTTTTTTTTTTTCCCCTCCTCCTCTTGTGCTCATTCGCCCTGTTTTTTGAAGTCTCTTTTCTCTCCCTTTATACCATGGTTCTCAACTTATTTTGGGGGGAAATACCTTGAGCAGAATACAGTGGGAAAAGAATCTCTACCCCTTTCTGTTCCAAATTCATTTTTATCCCTTCCTGTCTCAACAAAAACTTTATGGAATCAACACCACCGTGCTCTGTGGGAAAAAAGAAAAACCTTCTGCTCCCTTAGCTCTGCTGGAAGCTGGAGGGTGCTAGGCCCCTGTGTAGTAGTGCATAGAATTCTAGCTTTTTTCCTCCTTTCTCTGTATATTGGGCTCAGAGATTACACTGTGTCTCTATGTGAATATGGACAGTTAGCATTTACCAACATGTATCTGTCTACTTTCTCTTGTTTAAAAAAAAGAAAAAAAAACTTAAAAAAATGGGGTTATAGAAGGTCAGCAAAGGGTGGGTTTGAGATGTTTGGGTGGGTTAAGTGGGCATTTTGACAACATGGCTTCTCCTTTGGCATGTTTAATTGTGATGTTTAACGGACATCCTGGCAGTTGAAGATGACACTTTTAAAATAAAATTCTCTCCTAATGATGATTTGAGCCCTGCCACTCGATGGGAGAATCAGCAGAACCTGTAGGATCTTATCTGGAATTGACATTCTCTTGTAATTTTGTTCCTGTTTATTTTTAAATTTTCTTTTTGTTTCACTGGAAAGGAAAGATGCTCAGTTTTAAACGTTAAAAGTGTACAAGTTGCTTTGTTACAATAAAACTAAATGTGTACACAAAGGATTTTGATGCTTTTCTCTCAGAACAGGTGTATTTAATTATGATTTTCCAAGTTTGACTTGTGTAACGTATTGTCAAACTTTGTCACCCTGACTCCGTGTTTTTTGATACGCACTTTGCAGGGTGACCTCAGGGCTTGTGTGGACTGAGAAAGGGATTTGAATCAATGTATTAATGTCTCCAAATCCGGGAACCATCATGGGTACGATTTGCCGTCAGTTTCTGAAATTCTCCACCTCAGTCGGGGTACCAGATTGCCCAGAAGTCCGTTATGATTATGCTGTGCCCTTGATTTGTATCTCGAATTGGCATTTTCGAAAATGGGCCTTTATTTACCTGGATATAATTCTAGTGCCTGCCACCACTGTCAGACAGACCTGGTGCTCTAATGCCGAATTACACACAGGGCAGTTGCTGGCGTGCCTTCATTGGCACCATGAAACGTGGCTGAGAAGACAGACTCTCAGACAAGAAGTCCGTACTGGTGGTAAACTCAGGAGTACTTTTGTCTCAAAGTACTAGCTATTTAGCACGTAGCTCTCAAGCGAGACCTGTCTGTGTGAATCTGGGTGAGAATGACGGGCTCGGCTCTGCTAAATGCCGTTGTGCATAGAATAACATTTTGGGAAGCTACCTAATGCATAAGCTTTTTAATGCTGTAAATTATAGTAGCTAAAATTAAATGCCACTTAACTTTTTCAGAGATGAATTCATGGACAGCCTGGTCAAATTCAAAGCTTTTTGATGTATAAAACTTTATAAATGGAACTATTCCATCGATAGGCAAAGTGTAATGAAAACCTGTCTAGATGGATAGTATGTAATTTCTGCACAGGTCATGTTTAGTAATTACATCACTGTATACCGGTCAGGAATCTTGCTCCAATAAAGGAACATAAAGATTTTTTTTGACTGGGGTCATTCTCCTTGTTTTGTAGAGAAATGTTACTTGCTTTTGGGTTCAGATGATAAGCTAGTTTTTCTGTGTGGTTTGTGTTCATAGTGACTGGGGAAGGGGGTAAACTCTTCATATCCTCCAGCAGTATAGCCGAAGCGACATCTATCCGAAAGGGTATGTATAAAGGTCACGGGAAAATAACTTCTTTGGGATGTAGTCAGTTCGTGAAGGGATTGAGTATTTTTCAGGTCGAAGTCAAAACATTTAAAGGGCTCTTTGCTGAGGGGGAAATATAGTCACTTGAATGAATTGCTCATTCAGTAGGCCTGTAATT